ACAATAGAATTTTATTAATCACAAGATTAATTATAAATTCTATATTTGACCCACTAGTCACACTAGTCAAGACCTAACATGTGATATACACTCATAATCTACTCATTCCATATGTCATATTTTAAGTTGAAATTAAATCTAAATAGGGGAAACCCTACCTCTCGTAGCGTGAGACCACTTACTAGAACGCCAAGGAAGCCCAAATTTAGCTTCTTAAGTTTTAGGCCTAGATTATCGGCTTTGATATACCTTCGAAGAAAAATACGATATTTGGTGTGTTGCGTAGGTCTCGCTGAGTAGAGCAACTTTAGTTCTTGGCCCGAAACGATTAAACGGTTAAATTTTCCTAGATCTGAGAAGGAAGAAAAGAGAAAAAAAAATAAAAACTCCTTTTTTTTTCTCACTCTCTCTATCTCGCCGGCTGTAGAACACATAAAAAGTGGAAGACAAAGTCTTCCACTTATATATATCTTATTATTATTATTTTTTTAAAATTTACGTTTTTGACCCATAATTTAACAATTAATTATTATCTTACCCCTTTTTTTTTTAGGATTTTAATAATAATAATAATAATAATTTTTTTTTTTGGGTTTTACAATCCTCCATATGCAACATGCTTCTAGAGATTAGATTAATTAGGATAAACTTATCAAAAAAGTTAGCATTCACATATTTATTGTTTTATCTAGAGATTTTGTTCTTGGCCGAATTGTCATTGGTGAGCAATTTTATTTCGGCTTACCTGTGGTACGAGCGAGTTGTGTTTGTGTCGGGTCATATTGATTGATTTAAGAAATTACTCGGTCCATGCCACCCCTAATTAACTGGAACACGAACTCTTTGATTATTTGGATTAGGCTTGGATGGAAGCAAGCTGAAAGAAACTTCTCATATTTGAGATACGATGAGCTTTGGGACCTTGAAGAGTCTAGTGGCGGAAACGGCGACTAGAGGAGGGACTGAGGCAAGGGCGAGGATATTTGGGCATCTACTTAATCCAACAGAGTAAAGATCATGGTTCTAGGTATCGACCGATTCCGATACGACTCGGCCACTCTCAATACGATAATGGTACGTGAGTCGGAGAAATCTCAAAATGAAGTACTATTGGCGATATATCGTTCAACTCGGCTGAAATCAAAGGAATCGGTCACACCTTGGTTCAACTTGAATGATTCGTATCAGAATCTCTCCGAGTCGAAAGAGTCCGTGAAAAAATCCCCCCAAATCTAACAGACAGAACAAAAATCCAAGATACTCAATCATTTCAGAAAAATTGAACAAAAATCCAAAAAAAATAAAATAGTGGAATGGGAAATAAAGCAGACCCAGTACCAGTCGAATGACTAGAAACCCATGTGAAAATTACAGAAATCACATGAACCTTGAATTCTAAACCCCTTTTTTTCAACTATAAAAACCAAGAATACTAAGGATTTCACATACCTGGAGATCGAACGAATAGGGTCTTCATCTGTTTTTGTGCGACTATATTCTTCGGTTGTTTTTGTGTGACGATCAAACCAAGTGGATCTCGGTGTTGGTTCTCTGTCTGACGGTGAGGGACCGTGGTCGTCTGTCGGTGGATCTCTGTCGATGAGGGACTGTGGTCATCTCTATTACTCTGTCTGCACCTCTCTCTCTCTCTTTCATCGTGACTGTGAGAAGACGAGAAATCTTTGTCTCTGAATAAAAGAGGTAAGTATGGAAAAAAAAACTCTTTAAAAGTTGTCTGTTGTATTTTTTTTTTTGTTTTTGACTGAGTCTAGTTTGTTTAAATATTTATATTTGTGTTGAATCTAACGTAAAAATAGTAGTTCAAGTGGGTAAAGATGCACATTATCATATTGTAGGTCAATGGTTCAACTCCTGCAGGCCGTTTAATATTATTTTAGTTACAATTACATTTAAATTACTCCATGACTCCTACTGGCTGTTTTACATTATTTTAGTTACAATTACTGTAATTACTCTAGACATGCAATTGGGTTCGATTCCTCCAGAGATGCAAATGTTACAATTACATTATTTATTGAATAAATATTACAATTATTATTTTTTAATGATCAAAAAATTATAACTTTAATGCAATAATTAGAAACATTAATATTTTATAATAATAAATAAGTGGATATAAGTTCTATTTTTTTTTGGATAAAAAATATATGTTCTATTTCAAATTATGTAAAATTAAATGTTACAATTACATTATTTTTATATTTAAATTACTTATTTATTGAATAAATATTACAATTATTGTTTTTTAATACTCAAAAAATTATAACTTTAATGCAATAATTAGAAACATTAATATTTTCTAATAATAAATAAGTGGATATAAGTTTTATTTTTTTTTTGGATAAAAAAATATATATTCTATTTCAAGTTAGGTAAAATTAAATGTTACAATTATATTATTGTTATATTTAAATTACTTATTTATTGAATAAATATTACAAGTATTGTTTTTTAATAATAAAAAAAATTATAACTTTAATGTAATAATTAGATACATTAATATTTTATAATAATAAATAAGTGGATATAAGTTCTATTTTTTTTTGATAAAAAATATATGTTTTATTTCAAATTATGTAAAATTAAATGCTACAATTACATTATTTTTATATTTAAATTACTTATTTATTGAATAAATATTAAAAGAATTATTTTTTAATAATCAAAAAAATTATAACTTTAATGTAATAATTAGATACATTAATATTTTATAATAATAAATGAGTGGATATAAGTTCTATTTCAAATTATGTAAAATTAAATGTTACAATTACATTATTTTTATATTTAAACTATTTCAATCAATTGCATGTTACTTATTTAATTATTTGGAATTTGTGACATTGTAGAATGCCTCCTAAACAACACGATATTGGTTGGGGACACGCAACACCTGTTGGTGGTGATTGACGGATTACAAAGTGCAACTATTGTGGAAAAATAGTTCATGGTGGTATTACTCGAATGAAGCAGCATATTGCACATATATACGCCCCAGGTAAAAAGCTGTACATGTGCACCAAAAGAAGTGTCACAATTCTTGAGACAATATTTCAGTGATTGTAGTAAAGAAAAAGCTTCTATAAAAAAAAAGAACGAATTATACAATCATTAAAAGATGAAGATTGTTACAACCTGGATGACGATGATGATGATGGTGAGAATCAAATTGAAGAGTGTGATTTTGAAAAAAAACAGTTAAAACATGCAATGAAGGAAAGCCGTCAAATGGCTTGGATGGAGGAAGAGGGTCGTAGGCACTTTGTATCAAATGCAAGCAGTCGTTCTAATAAGGGTCATTTTTTTGGTCCTGGATCATCACAACCATCTGGCTTAGGAATAAAGCGCGGACCACCACGTAGCTATAGCGTAAAAGAAGGTGCAAGCGTTCCTATAAGTGGTATTGATCCGTACATGTTTTCGTCTAAACAAAAGTTAGTAAAAGGCATGTTCTCAAGTGAGAAACATGAAAAAGTTGGAAAAGCTATTTCAAAGTTCTTCCTCTTCAATGCAATACCATTCAATGCAGCTGATAGTGGGCCTTACTATCAGTCAATGATTGACACTATTGCAGATGTAGGCCCAGGTATAAAGAGCCCCACAGGATATAAAATTGGTAGTTCTTATTTGGAGGAGGAGGTTTAAGAGCTTGAAGTGTATATATCCTCGATAAAGGTAAAATGGCCTCAGTATGGTTGCACAATCATGTCTGATGGGTGGAGTTCTAGAACAAAGAAACCTATTATGAATTTCATGATTTATTGTGACCGTAGTATGATTTACCATACTTCGGTTGATACCACAAAAATTTCAAAAACTGCTGACTATATTTTCTCTCTTATGGATAAAGTTATTGATGAAGTTGGAGAAGAAAATGTAGTACACGTAGTAACCGACAATGAGGCAAGCTTTAAAGCAGCTAGTAAGATGTTGATGGATAAAAGGAAACATCTATTTTGGTCTCCTTGTGTAGTCCATTGTATCTATTTGATGCTAGAAGATATTGGTCATATGAAAGCAATCAAGGAGACCATAGATGATGCTAAGATGATCACATCCTTTATCTACAACAGTCTCAAAGTGGTCAACTTAATGAAGCAACATACTAGAGACAAAGATTTATTGAGACCAGGTATAACACAATTTGCCACTGAATTCATCGCCATTGAAAGTCTTATTCGTTATCAATCGGACTTGAAAAGAATGTGCACCACTGATGAATGGCGTGAATTCAACAAAAATAAGAAAAAGAGAAAAATAAGAGATATAGTCTCAAACCTGATTTTGACTGACCAATTTTGGAAGAAGGCTAGAGAAGTTCAATTCGTCATGGAGCCTCTTATTAGGGTCTTAAAGACAGTTGATCAAGACAAAAAATCGACTTTATCAATTGACTTTGAGGCAATGAACACGACTAAACTAGTCATACAACATTTAGTCAAAAATTAGAAAAAATATTGGGCCGTGATTGACAAAAGATGGGAGACTGAATTGCACAGACACTTGCATGCAACAGGTAAAAGTATTTAAAAATATAATTTTTTCATTGTGTATTAGCTTGTAAAATATTATAGTTTTCCACTAACTTTTATTAAATTGCCAAAAAATTTGCAGCTTATTTCTTAAATCCAGTTTTTCAGTATTCTAATCAATTTTTCGACCATCCTGAGGTAAGATCTGGTTTGAAAGAGGTTATTAAAAGATTGAAACTAGATTTAAATAAACAAACAAGGGCAATGAATGAGGTATGACGATTTTTGATAATATTTATGATAATATGTATATCTATTGGTCGCATACATAATACATTACACAATAAATTACAGATCAAATTATATACTGACGAACATGGAGAGTTTGGAAATGCACTCACTAGGAAAGCCGTACATGCCTCTCTTCCATGTTTATTATTTAAAATATATGTATTTATTAAAATATCATTTGTTACTTTTATGGACAAATACTAATATTGTACATTTTGTCTTTTGTAGCTAAATGGTGGATCAATTATGGTGAAGAAGCTCCCCATCTACAAAAAATTGTAATCAAAGTCTTAAGTCAAACATGTTCATCATCAGGGTGAGAAGGAAATTGGAGTACATGGCTGTTGATCCATACAAAACTTCGCAACCGATTGGCAATGAAAAAGCTACATAAGCTAGTTTTTGTGCACTACAATATGCGGTTGCGAGTTAGAAATTTGACGTATCAGCGTGAAAATGATGATTTTTATAATCCAATTGATCTGAACTACATTTTTAATGACGAGGACATATTAGGTGAGTGGATAAGAGAGGGGGAAGAACTAATTTTACTACCTGATAACTTAAGTTGGCTGGATGAAGGTATTCGTGACATTGAAGAAGATGGAAGTGGAAGAGATGCAATTGATGAAGGTGACATTAATATGGCTCCAACATCTAGCAACTATGCCACTACCAGAAGATCTGGAAAAGACACGAGGCCAACCAATAAGGGTAAAAGGTTATGAGACTTTTTGTCAGTTCTAGTGATTCTTCTTCTTCTTCTGATGATGATGATAATAATGTTGCTGATACTTATGGAGGTGATGGTGGTGGTAGTACTAATGATGATGATGATGATGCTAGTAATCATGGTGGAGATAATGATGAGGGCAACAAGAGTGGTGGTGGAGGGGCTACTAGAGATGGTGGTGATACTCAGCTAGCTGGTGGTATGGCATGGGCATAGGGGCAAGACAATTATTATGCCACACAGGATACATACCATGGATATTGACTAGGGGCAATGAAACAATGGAGGAATTTAAACTCTTCCATTGGTGATGATTATTCCAATAGACGCCACCATCATTCACTTGATCAACAAGATATTGATGATCATATGTAGAGTTTGAGATTGACATCACATGAAGGATACATGCCTTATGGACATCATCAAAGTAGTGGTATAAAATCTAGCTATGCACATGGATCATATGGATATGGTATCCCTTCGCAGCTTCGAAGGTCTACTAGTACTAATAGTGATGGGCATTATGGTCATCGCCCTACGCATCTTGAGAGATCTACTAGTACTAGTACTGGTGGCTACTATGATCGTGTTCCAAGGAGACATCATGATGAATCTTCTAACACAACATCAGATAGTGTCAACTTTTATGGATATGATTAGTCTTCTGCTAGTAGTGACCGTGAATATCATGGTTTTGGGTACTATTAGTATGGGAACCAGCCAGTACAACCTCCACAGTCACACACTACTCTGATTATGGGTTATCTAGTCAATCAACTCAACCAACCCAATCAGACCCGTATTCACACTTGTACTCTTATCCTTATGGTGGACAATATCCTATTATGTATTATCCTAGAGACAATAACGACAATTTTGAGCCTCATCGTCGTTCAATGTGGCAATAATTATGTCTCAATATGTTTCTAAATGCCTATATTGAACATTGTTAATAATAATTATTTTTGGTAGCGATTTTATGTTTCATTTTAATTATGTTTAATGTGTTTTTGGATGTATTGTGGATATATGATGCATGAATGATGATGTCTATTTTTTTAGAATTTTCTATAATTTATTCAAATTTTTTTGGAGCTTCTATCTTGCGTTTTGAGCGTATCGGCCGATACCACACCGCGATTGATGTGTATCAGCACCCTCCGAGTCGATGGCTGATACCGCAATTTTGAACCATGACAAAGATCTCTGCACAAGATCCTACGCAAGAAGCTGATTGGTTTGGAAGTTACAGAATGGTACCCTTATGACATCAAGAAAGAAGACCCTCTTGTCATGGCCCGACAAGAACAAGAGTATTCCCTACTCTCTCTCTCATACACACACACACACACACACAAAGCACCCTCTAACTGTTTGGTTCAAGCAGCAGCATGATATATGTCATCAACCTTGTTAAACTTCGAGTGTTCAAATTGCTATTCATTTGTAGGTTTTTTTATTTCATTCTTTACTTTTTATAAACTTACATTTCATTGATTGTTGGTTGTCTCAATTTGTAACATGCTTCTAGAGATCATATCAGTTAGAACATAAATGTCAAAAGACTCTAATGACACTTGCTGCCTAGTCGTTGTTTTAACATTCACATTTGTTACTTTTTAGGGTCACATAGGCAAATCTTCGGAATCTAGTCATGTTTTTATTATCAAAAAGGGTATTTGGTCTTACTTTTACTTATGCCTTTTCTTTTGACCATAGTCATTTATGGAGATTTTGTTTTTGGCCTTATTGTCACAAGTGAGGAATGGAAGTGCAATTTCTTAGTGTGGCTTATTGTTTGTACTCAACCATGAATTGTTAGTACATATATACAAAAAAAAATTTGTTTCCCATCTTCATAAATCACATTGTCAAAAAATTCAAAAAAAATAATTATCGATGATTACAATAGCCACTATTGACGTAGTTCTTTGATTCATTAAACTAACTTGACTAAAGTTTGGTGAAAATAAATATGATTAGATTTGAAGGAAATGTGTCTGATGTGGGAACTTAGAGATGGGTACTATTACTCTTATAATTGTGGGTTAGAAATAATGTTTTGTATTTTGTATTTTTTCTTGGGTATTGTTTATTGGATAATGTGGTTTTACTTTAACTAGTTAATAATACTTTGTTTGATTTATTCATAATTTGATATATTTTACTAATTAATAATACTACTCAAACTTAATTTTGAAACTTAATTTGAGGACCTAATGTATTATTGCTATTAGATTGGCAATTGGACTGTATACAAGATAAGACTCAGTTGATTTTATGGCAACAATAGATTAGGTTAACTTAAATCAAAAAATTAGGTTTAATTAGTATTAATTTTTATTAATATACCTCCGGTAGCACCCTTACATCCCATTTTTACTATATTTCATATGTTAGATAATGTATTTTGGATATAGGATACATGGTTAAATGTTATTATTACATTGTTTTAGATTTTTATAATTTTTTAGAATTTTTTGAATATTCTATTTATCTTCCATTTTGCACATATCGGTTGATACCATGCCACGATTACACATACAATGTGTCTTCGTGCCCTTTGATTTAAGGTCTGATACAGTGACTTTGAGCCATGACAAGAGGCGATGTTCACTAGGTCAAATTTTGGAGGAAACTTGGTTTGTAATAGGTTTGACTCGATTTATTGTTTTAATCAAAATGGGAGAAGAGCTTGTCAAATGTGAAAAAAGAGGCCTTCGTTTATGTCTTATCCAATTTGGATCTTGAGTGATTTGGTATGGATTATGGTTATGGATACCTTTTACGTTTCTTTCAACGATACTTTTTGTGATCAGGTTTATCGGGATCCTACCTTGGATTGATGAATCTTACAAACTGAAACAAATGTAATGAAAAATATATGTAATAATACAAAACTCCTAAAAACAAGAATTAACCAAACCTTGTATATATTATATGCAAATATAAATGTTAATCTGAGCATTGAAGAGGGTTGAAAATCAAAATCGGGCTATTGATCTTATGAGATTTTGCGAAGGCTAATAAGAAAATTGAAGTATTTTGATTTTAATTTTTGGAGAGAGACGAATATGGAGGAGACACTAAAAAGTTGAGACTTTTTGAATAAACAACTTTGACTATTCACCATTCAAACAAAAAAAGGA